ACATAAAAATTCAGTTTCACACAACTGGATAGACAGGTTAATTTGAGATGCACACTTTTCCCATGTAAATAAAGAAAAAAGACTGAAAGAGCATTTATAATTATGCCCATATTTATAAGCATGCATTGTTACAGAAATAGCTAATTTTCACTCCCATAATTATTACCAATGTCTTTGTCTCTGATGATCCTCAGGAGTTGTGTTGAGAATGTGTTTAACCAGCCACAAAGTCTATAGAAAAAGAAATGTGTGCAAAAGAACATTAAGAAATCAAGATACTCAGCAGCGCATCGTCTAAGTTATATTTTTATTCCAACATGTTTCAAATTAATTGATGCTGGATATGGAATGGAATGGGGATGCCATTTGTTATCAGTGTGATCACTATATCCTGAGTAATCTAATATATTACCTGGTTTGAGGGGTTGGTTTTTTTGTTTGTTTGCTTTCCTTTATCAAAGTATTTCATGATTCTCCTCCTACCTGCCAGCTCTTCACAGAAATTACAGAAAGAACAACTTATATATATGAGAAAGCACACATTTGACGAGTTAGTTTTCCACCCATATAGAGTTTTTGCTTGCTAACCTATCCTAACCCAAATAGAGAAAAAGGATCATGAAGAGTAAAACAAAACAAAATATTTCAACAGGAATGACTTTCTGCTGATAATGAATGGTGGACATCCCCAGACCTGTAAGATATAGAGCAACAAAGATCACTTCAGATCAAATGTATGAATATTGTTTTTCCAGTTTGAACATCTGAGCCTCCCTCACACACCTAAATAGTTTATTAATTAAAAAAAAATCTAGAAACTATTTCATATGTAGAACTATTTACTGTAACTGGAAATAGGATTTTGAAAATTTCTCTGTTCTTGTTCCTTGGTTTTAATGAATAAAGGGCATGATATAACTTATAACACACCACATTTTTGCATGTGATTTTTGTAGATGATTTTCTGTAGGCTCTTTGTAGAACAATTAAATTTTGAAAATCTGAAATGATATTTTATATTACAAATTCAAAATATTTAAGCAGTTTACAGATTACCAGTCATAAAGTAACAATATATATTGGTCAAAATTAAATTGCAGTCTCTTTTTACAAGTGTATATGTCCATATACTTATTTTGCATAAACATGTAAAATATTATTTGGAGTTACTCTGTCTCATAAATTAGAAGCATGTTTTGTAATTATACTACTCTAATACAGCGAGAAGATGGTTTGATTGTTCTGTTTTACACAACTAGTATTTTATTTCTGTAAGATGCTGGATAATGTTTTGCTTTATTTATTCTTAAATATGAAAATGGTCCTCCTTTTCTTTTTTCATAAACTATGATGTTGCAAAATTACTTCACAGATTAATGAAGATTCCTCAAATGTGCAGTGCGAAACAAAACATACATAGGAATTAGAAATTGTTACAGGTAGAATAAGTGAAAGTTTGCACCTGCACTTTGAGTGATATTTCTTATAGTAAATTGGCAATAAGAGCTGGAACTCTTCAACGGTACAAAATCGCATTCTATTTCCAGATTTATCATGCTTGAAAATTCTGTTTATCATTTGGTAGAAACACGAGATAAGTACGAGCTTAAAATACCCATCACAGTTTGAGCTACCTGATATTTTTGTAGATGGTTTGAACAGACAGATAAAATAAATTAACCTATTCTTTGAGGATCCATTTATAGTTGAGGAGCAGGGTAAGGAAATGGCAATGGATGCATGTGATTTTTTTTTCCCCAAATCACTTGTCAGTGCAGAAAAGATCACTGCTCCCACTACTTGCTCGTTGTTGCCCGATTTCAAGAGGTGGTCGACCCTGGATTACCAGCAGAGTCGCTCATAGGAGCAATAAAAATGAGATTGGCAAGCTAACATATTTACATTCACAGCCTGGATCTCTGCTGCTCACCTGCCTCTGAGTACATAGTTTTTTTAGTATATAGGACCTCTTTTCAGCAGATGACCAGCTCCTCAAGTCTAGAAAGAGCTTGTAGGAATAAAAGTTTCAAATAGCAAAATAAATAAAAAACAATAAAGTGCTAACTTTAAGGCAGTTTATAGTCTCTGAAAGACTCTTCAGATAGTAGAACTGCCTGGGAAAAGCATTTAGCATGTTTTCAAATATGAACTGCATTATTACCACACTTTCAAATAAAATTATATTAAAATAACATTTCAGGTATCATTTCGAATGAAGTGCATACTATGCACTTATTATTTCTGATAAAATTCCACATGTACAATATGTTCCTATTTAAACTAAGATTTTTGTTTTCTGTTCTAAATCAAGGCAAACAATATCAAAACCTCATTCTACCTCCCTCTTTCTTTTATTTTCCAATTCAGAACTGTGTGATATTTTGTTTTACTAATGGCTGCTTATTTATAAAGTGGAAAACTTCTACTGTCTCTGGACATCCTCCATTCTTCCTGTGCATAGCAGTCCTGACAATTAAAGACCAGGGCTCCTGAAAGTTAAGTCTCTTTCTTTGCAGTTGACCAGGCAGGCTGCTACGGAGATAACACCTGAGGGCCAGAGTCTAGTTTAATTCATATAACAATGAAGAAGTTAAAAAAGTTTCTATCAGTAACAATGTGTGTTGGATTATATACATTTGCAGGAAAAAAAAATAAAAGCCCCAAGGAGACTGATGGAAATTATTTCAAAAATAAAAGACGTAACTTTGTAAATACAGGGCAGAATGTGCAGCTACTCTACTTTTGAGAATTTACATGACTAATGTTAGTACAATAAACAGTTTAACACATTACTGATTACTCAGTGATGACATTGTGCAAGAATAGAGAAGTATTTAATTTATTCAGTGTTGAGAAAAGATGTTAGCTTCACAGAGGCTCCAGCCTCCGTAATGCCTTATGTTAAGTGATTTCCCTTGCCCTGACCATGGGATCAATCCCTCACTGAGTTCCCAGACACTGACCATGGGATCATCCCCTCACTGAGTTCCCAGACACGGCTCTTGCTCCAGCTGCTCCCCCATCTGGCTGGCTGAGGACGTTAAGGAGACACTTAAGAACATAGGGCATCATTAAAAGTACTTGGCCTTTTTAAAGACTTGAAAAGAATCTGTCCTGTCTTCATGAGAAAAACTAAGTTCAGGTGCTAGTCATCAGTCCTGAGATCTGATCCTTATCTGGCATATTTAAAAAAGCTTCTACCTCAAGGAAAGAGGAGAAAGCTCTATTTGTCCTACAAGGTGAGGAATATCTCAACAAGAACAAATGTTTCTTAGGGACAGAAAATGGGCCTGTGTGGCACAAGACAGAATCATCTGATCAAACTATATTTTGTACTTGATATACAAAAGAGACTACTATTTTTTTTCCTGAAACTAAGAATCTAATATGAAAATAAGAACAAATATAAAAATAAGAAATATTTTTAATGAACTTCATATGGGATTACATAATGATGCACATTCTGCATCAAGATACCCATAAAATAGTTATTTCCTCTGTATTACCTGTAGAGTTGACAGGTTGAGAGGGGCTTTTTTTGAATGCTGTATGCATGTTGTATATAATTCTTTCAACCCCTTGTATGCAATCCTTAAGAATTTTCACAGGTATTTATTACAAAAGAATATATTAAGTGCTAAAACTGTTTGGATAGTCATCTCACCCAGTCTTACCTCTAGAAGACCATAACAATGATCAGATCACATTTAGTGACTGGTGTTAGGCTACAGTGTTAAACTGAAGAAAAAAAATCAAAGTAAAGAAATTTAACAAAATCCACCACAATCACCCTTCATACACATGGAGTAATAAAAAGATGCAATGGCTCAGCTATGAAACATGGAGATAAATGCTGGCAGGAATACAGAAACAAGGAAAAAAATGGCATAAAATAACTTATCTGTCTCTAGTGACTATCAAGAGTAATACCTTCACTGATACTGAACAACATTTTTTCAGGTGGATGACATACTATATTTTTCCTCTGAGAAAAATAAAAAAAGTGCTGGGATAAGATTCTTTCTGTCCACGTTTGAAAAACACTCAAGTCACTGCTTTGTGGTCAGATGTGACTGTAAGCGTATATCTGAGGAAAATACACTGCAGATGTTCATAAAAAAGGAACTGTGAGTCCCTGTAAATGAAATTAGAGGAACAGACTGCTGAAAAAGTGTATTATGTGAGAATTTCTAGTGCCTAGGTCAGCTTCAATGGTTGGCTTTGGTTTTAGGCACTTTTTCATGATGGTGCTATATGGCAAAATAATCAGTGCTTGTAAGTTCACAGGGATACAGTTTTGAACTCTTATGAAGAGGTGCAGTAGGAAAAGAACTGTTAAACCCCACTCAATGCTTTGAAAATTTACCTCCTAGTGTTCTTGAAAATTATTTCTCCTGTGTGGAGAGGACTAGAAGGAAAGAAGTAATTAACTGAGGTAAGATGTTCCTAAAGAAATTTTTTTTAAAAAAACAATCAAACCAAACCAAAACAAAAAAACACTTAGAAACACAAGTTGCTTAAATCAGAACGTTTATAAGTGATTTTGGGAAGTTCAGAAGCTATAATTCTTAAAATCCATTTCTTCTTTGTTGTTACAAGATAACTGTTTGCCTTGTCAACAACCAATAAATGCGAAGACAAGTATTATTTTGCAAATAAACACTTGGGAGATTTACACCCCCTGTCATCTTCAAATAGGAGTTTCTGGTAGTTTCTGGACAGATTATTTAAAGAAATACGTTCTTTTGTTTTACATTGGTATTATTAAATACTACTCAAATATCTTCTACATCCCCCTGTGTCCTTATGAGTTTGTTTAGGGCGATTTTTTATGTATGACAATCTAAAATTTGCAATTTTTCCAACAGTGAAACAGAAGATAACCACTACCAACCCCAATTATAGTTCAAGATTGTACAGACTTTCATATATGCTGAATGATTTGGTCTGTAATAACAATATATATATTTATAGAAGTCTTCTTTTCTACCTCCCTAAAGCTACACACTGACCAAGATAAAGGAGATGGAAATTTAAAATACATATTAACAGGAGATGGGGCTGGCAGTCTATTCATTATAGATGAAAATACAGGAGATATTCATGCTGCAAAGAAATTGGACAGAGAAGAAAAGTCCCTGTATGTGCTACGTGCCAAAGCTATAGACAGAAAAACTGGAAGACAAGTGGAGCCAGAGTCTGAATTTATCATTAAAATCCATGATATCAATGACAACGAACCAAAATTCACCAAGGACATGTACACCGCCAGTATTCCAGAGATGTCTGGAGTTGGTAGGTAAAAACTTATCCTTATGTAAAATACAAATGGCTTTGAGTTGATTTGAAACTTATAATTAATTTACTGTTTGAGACACTTAATACTAACTTCTGTGAATATCCATGGAAAAATTTTGTTGCCAGTAACGTGTCATAAATTATTGGTTTCTTCTTTTATATATTTGTTTCATCTTCATCCACTTCTTAGTCCTTTTTCCACACTATAAGCTACTCTTTACTCTTTTAAGCCCACCGAAACCATCAAGGAATGCAGGATGTATGGTTGTCTTATCAGTTACTACATAGTTTTGCCACAGCTGAGAATGTAACTTGCATAAAATGTATCTTTTTTGTATTTGTAAAGTCTAATTTACCAAACCTTTCTGTACCTTTAGACAAAAACAACTTCAAGCATGTAAGTATGTAAATCAATTATTGTATCAAAATGATGCAAATTGTGTTCCTACAAATACATAAACATTTGGTTTGGATTTTGTTTGTTTATTTGGGGTTTGGGTTTTTTAGGTATCAATATTAGTAGTTGATGTTGGTGGTTTTTTAATACGGGCTTGTCTGTTTGGGGATTTTTAAGAGACAAACATATGAACCCCTTCCCCAAAGAAATAACTCTTTTTGTTTAAAAAATATTTTTCTTCATGGGTAAAAACCTACAGCTCTTCACAACTGCTGCACTTAAAAGTAAAAATGTGGAGTGACAGTAGAAGACAGGTGACAAACATAGCATCAACAGAAAACAATTCTCTGAATTTTGTTTAAATAATATAAAATGATAGATAATATTCACTAGTACAGACTCATCAGAAGTTATCATAATTACTTAAGTGCTCCACTTTTGCAGCAGAGACAGTCTCTCTGATAAAATTAGTAAGCATAAAATACATAGGCTATGGGAAACAACTGACAGATAAATTCTCCAGAGTTATTTACTTACCATTAATTACTGTAATGGTGTGCAAAATCAGCCCTGGATTATGGCACTGCTAAGAGAGACAATAAAATATCGATCAATATTTGTGACAAATCTGCAAAATAATTTCCAGAAGCTAATAATTATCACTGAGAGCAGTAGCAGAAGTGTAACAGAATAGGACTGTCTTTTATAACTCTATTTTATAACAATGAGAAGGGAATACCTACACTACGATGTATAATGCAGAGTCCAAGAATGGTTCTTTTAAAGATGCATGGAAAATAGAGAAATCCTTTCCATTCAGAATTGACTTTGCGGATAATCTGTGAAGAAAAAATTTTGGCAGTGCGCCTGTCATATTTAATTTAAAATATATTTGTAAGGAAGGAACTCTATAGGAATAGATAGGATAAAAAGCACAATGTCCATGTTTAACATTATCACTTAGTCCAGCTTCATTAGATTCAATAGAATACGATCCAGTGCTTTGGCACTGCTTGTGAAATTTTAAGTCTATGAAATGTCTATATTTGATGAGGATAATGATAGTATAAGTACCATTTTGTACTTTAAGCTGAGAAAGTGTCCATAAAAGAACCAGGTAAAGGTGAAGAAAGAATTAGAGGAAAAGGACTTAAAAACAGTAAAAAAAGCCCCTTGGCTTCCAAAATGAAGGCAAAAATGGATCTGAGTTACTCTTTGCTCTGTTTAGTTGACATTTGCATTTAAGTATATAAATACTACACTGGAATGGCAATTTTTAGCATTTGAATTTTAATGAGTAAAAGTAGTTTTGTAATTCCTTAAAGTAGCAGAGAATAAGAACCCAAATCCAGATCAGTCCATTCAATAACTAGAAATTCTATAGTTCTGAAGTCATAAGAATGCCAATTTAACAGTCAGGATGTACATATAGGTAATGAATTCACGAATATATTCCTTCTTGGAGTCCTGTTGTCCCATTCCTCCAGATAAGGAAGCAGATGCCATAACTGAAGAAAACTTGGGAGTGATAAAGGTGAGATTCTTACCGTAAGTGGAATAAAACTTACAGGTAAGCCAGTATTAATCTTCTAAGCCTTGCCATAAAGCACACAGGAGAACACATACAGAATGAAGACAGTGTAGTGCTCAAAATATCTAGACAGAAGAAATCCATATGAATGTAAGCCAGCATATATGCACTAGGCAGCACATGCAAGTAAAAGAAGAAAAAAGAGAGAGTGATAAATATTAAACTCAAAACTGATACAGTGTGGCAATGGGCTGCGGAAGTAACTCCTGGTTCATACTTTCCACAGTGGCTAGTGGAATATCCATTAAAAAATCTCCAATGCATTATGAAAATGGCATTTAAGCAGTTGTATTTATTCTTCGTTCAATAGATATGATTCAATGAACAACTACCAGCTTTTCTTTTGTCTGCATATGCAGTTCAAATAATTTTTTCCTGAACATGCTGTTTGTTGCAAAACATCGCGAATTTACAGAATTGTCATTTGTACGAGCAGTTCATTACACCTCAATACTTAATCTCTTCAGTGGTTTTGGTATACGCTGCTGTTCACAGATTACATAGAAGTTCAAAGCTAAATTTGGTAAGGACGTAGGGCCAAACCTTTTAGTTGGTTCTGGACTGTCGAATTTAAAATAGAATTTGAAGTTGGAGGTTGTGTAAAATAAGTCAAGAACTGAGAAATTATTGAATGAGCAGTGCATATTAGGTTTATGCTGCTATGAAAGTAACTGCATCTGAAATAAAAGGACAGAAAATATACTGGCAATTAAAGGTAAAAAAAAAAATCACAAAAGTCCCTTCCAGAAAACCAGAAGACTTTAGAATAAAAAACTAAGTGCCCTTTAATTCCATTTGTCCCTCTATAACAAATGGAAGAAAATAAGAATAATAAAATAAAATCAAGAATCCCTGGAATAGGGTGACCATCTTTACTAAGACTATATCAAAGGAAAAAGTCAGTGTAGTCCTGTATTACCTGCATAAATAATTAAGATGATGAAGGTTATTTGTTGTAAGTATATATACACAGATTCTTGCATACCTAACCAAATAAACTTTTTGACTACAAACAACTATATAGTTGAATTATACACATTTTAAGACACAGATATACTCATGATGGGCAGGTTAAAAATTTGTGGGAAAATCTCAGTTTCTTCCCATTCTTCACTTCCTCCCAATTTTGTGCTGTAAACAATAGGTTTTTTCTTAACTATTATATTTATTATGTTTGCCAAGTTCAACAAACATGACAGCAAATATTTATGAAAGCTCAGGAAAATGTCACTAAGATTGAGGAACTGAAAAGGAATCATCACTAGCAATGTTTCCAGCATACTACATATTTCTCATTGTGTTACCAATTGTTTCTTGGAATAACCAGATTTAGAGCACACAAGGAAAAAGCCCAAGCTAACACCTCTGTCAGAATGTGTGATTTTCAGTACCAATAGGCAAATCTCACTCATGTTTAACTAGTTTGACACTAAGAACAGTCAAAGCGTAACATGGATATTCAGCACAACCTGTCCAAACCTGGAGGGAAATATGAATGCTCATTTGTGCACTAGTTTGTGTTAATCTTATGTTGTAGTATCTACACTGCAGCCATCAAGCTATATATAAATTAGCCTTCCTATGTCTAAATGGGATCCAGTCATATCTCCAACAGCATTATGGGTATACCTAAAATGCTGTATAACAAGGTTAGTACCGGAAGAAATCAAAACCACTGAAGTGAGCTTACTGCAGTGTCATTTCAGATACTTTTATGGAAATGATCATGCTAAATGCTCACAGTGATATTAACTTAAAAAATTAAATGAGAAAGTTAGTTTAAGAAATTCTAAAACTCAATAGCATGGAATTTCTCATTAAAATCAGCTACTATACAGAAGAACTGGAGCATAACACCTGCTGTAGCTATACTTCTAAAGAGTGCTAGAGTTGACTGGAAGAATCCTGAGATTTATGTCAGACTAGGAAATTGATTCAATAGAAAATAATTCTAAAAAAATAGAAAAATATGCTGGACAGACCCGTAAGGTTTAATCAGAACATAATACAGAAATAAAGGAACAGAATATGTTTAACATTTGAAATTGATGGAATGCCAAAGCTGTAAGATACAATCTTGGTCACAATGAAGAGCAGGTGGATTTGAAGCATGACCTATTCTGATTTGGTTATGTTGTAAAAATATTACAAGAGGAAACTGCAGAGAAGCTGAATACATATTATGTATTTTGAGAATAATATTCTCATTTCCTCTTCATGTGGAAGGAAAAGTACATCCCCGATCATATTTAAAATCTACTCATTTCATCTTCAAGGCTTACACAATTAGAAGCTGTGATCCAAGTATTTTTCCAAGCGAAAGATGATTGCTAAAAAATCAAAATAAAGCAAAATCAAAACTAACCCTATTCTCATTGTGAAAACACTTTTCTGAGGACACAAATTGTTATTAAGAAATTTTTAAAAAGGGAAGTTAGCAATGAGATGTTCTATGCAGTCCAATCCCTTTTGACACTTGAGTCAATATTATCACATCCTCCTGTATCTGCCTTTTTAATTTTAATGATAAGGCTTACCATTTTTGCTCATTAAACATATTTAGCATGCAGCTGATGAGTATTTCACAATGTATTTTCAATCTTTTAATTGATCCTGTTAAGAGAAATGATAATGCCTAATTTAACTTAGCATTCATTTCTTCATACTTAACTGCCACTTTCTAGATTTTATGGATCTAAACAAAGGCACCTTCTGGTTCAGAATTTATACATGACAAGATTTGTATAATATTTAAGTTTATTTTAAGATATTTTAAATGGTTAATTTTAAAATTTAGAATTTTTCCATTACATTACTTTTATTGTAAATGCAGCCAGAATAAAAGAGCTTTTCTTTAGCTGAGTAGTGAAGTTTAATAGGGCATTATGTATGGAATATAGATAAGGCCATTTTCAACTCAGGCATACAGGATTACAGTATTCCTAAACGTGCCATGTATTATATGCTACTCTAAATAAAAGATACATATAAAATACATACACACAAAGA